AAGTCATTTTGGACTATAGACATTTAAATTCAATCTAAATATTTATTTCCCACATGAGCAGTGCTAGGGACACTCGCCTTTTGCACTCTCCAGCCAACACTTCCCCTTTCATTGGGCAACGTAAGCTTGTTTCCAGTTTTGTAGTGCAACCTCTTTCGAACCAGAACAACATGCCCCAATAAAAATGAAAGTGTTGGTCGGAGAGTGCAGGAGGCGAGTGCCCCAAGCACTCCTCTTCCCACATATGTAACTTTGAGACTTGAAAATCAAGCAGAATCCTCGCTTTTTATCAGAAACCAAACAATCAGAAAACAAAAATGAAACCAGTAATAGAAAAGGTGAGCATGCATAGCCTAATGGAATCGCAGAGAAACAGAGAGAGAGAGGCGGCGGTACCATGGTTGACGGAGAGGAGAGAGCAAGCGGGGCTGCGGTTGGCTGCGCGAAACCCTTTGTCGTTGATGGATTAGACTGGAGAAAACGAATTTTGCAGCTGGGTTCAATGGGTTTTTGAGTTTTACCAAAATCAATTACAAGTTTTGGAGATCTGCGGGGAAGGAAGCTCAGAAATTAGGGATGGAAAATGGGGAATCTGTGGAGGGGAGTATGATTTTAGTAGAAATGAAGCTCGAAATTAGAGAGGGAAGCTCAGAAATCACTTGGGTCTAGTCTACCGGGAAGGGAAGCTCAGAAATTAGGGATGGAAAATGGGGAATCTGTGCAGGGGAGTATGATTTTAGCAGAAATGAAGCTCGAAATTAGAGAGGGAAGCTCAAAAATTACTTGGGTTAGTCTACCGGGAAGGGAAGCTCAGAAATTAGGGAGGGAAGCTCAGAAATTAGGGAGGGAAATTGGGTACTCTGGCGGTGGGAAGCAAAAATAAAGAGGGAAATTGGGGACTCTTGCGGTGGGAAAGCTAAAAGTGATTAAGGAATAGGAATATATTATACAGACAGAGCAGTAATCCGTTTGTAAAGATGTATTTATACAAACATATAATAATTTCCGTTGGAATAGATACATGTATATAGACGGATAATTGTTAAACCGTTTGTATAAACTAAGTCTATACTAATGGATATATTTTTCCGTTGGTACAGACCCAAGCCTATACTAATGGATATATTTTTTCGTTGGTATAGACCTATGTATACTAACGGCATATGTTTTCCGTTGGTATATATGACCTATACAGACGGATTTTTTATCCGTTGGTATAAACTTCCGTTGGTATAAGGCATTTTGTTTGTAGTGAAAGTTGGGCCAAATTGAGGTCAGTTCGAATGCATGGACCTGATTTAGTCAAATGCAATTAGGAGGGTCAATCAAAACTTTTGGGTGAAGCCCAGCAAAAAGAGGTAAAAATCAACATTTAGCCCCTCACCTTATAAAATTGGTAAGTTTTAGCCCTTTATCTTATAACATGATACTTTAGGTCCTTTATCTTACAAAGTTGATAAGTTTTAGCTCCTCAACTTACAAAGTTGATAGGTTTTAACCCTTTATTTTATATTATGATATTTTTAGCTCATCACCTATACAAATTAAAGAAAATAACCCTCATCTAACATCAGATTATAACATTCTGTTAATTTTGTTAGTTGACTGTTAACATTCGTTAACTTTTCGTTATAGAAAAACATGAAATTTAAATTCAATTTTATATGTTAGTTCCATTAACGGAATGCTAATGAATGTTAATAGCCAGCTAACATAATTAACAGTCAGTTAATAAAACTAACAGAATATTATAACCTGATATTAAATCTAATTATCCTTTTTATTGTTACTTAAAAAAAAAGAATATTCCTTTTTGAAAAATAATTAATATTGTAAAAACATTCACTAAAGAAACACAACTGTGGCAATGATCCTCTCAAGGATGTTGGAGTATAAAGTTCATATGTGAGTAGAGTTGAGTTGAGAAATGTGCATAAGATTTGACATTGAAGAGAAACGAAATGTTAGAGTGTAATATATACGAAGACCCACGAATCTGATAGAGGTATCTTTTGGGTTTAATATGGTGTCTCTTCATATTTGTTTATGCTTTCTCATGTGTGTGCTCTTAAGCTGATTTGGTTGACACCCCAACAAGTGGTATCAAAGCTAATGGTGCGATCAATCATTAAGAACGGGTTCGATCGTTAGTGTTGAGAAGTCCATAGAAGCAAGACTATATTTTATTGGCTTTATTTGATATTTATGATATGAGAATAATGTAGGGTAGGTAATCCTCCAAAAATTTTTTAGAGAAGTATTTGAAAATCCACCTTCTGATTAATATTTTTAAAAACTAAATTGAAAGTTCTATTCATTTAAATTATACATATGAATTTTCATATTGATTGAAAGTTCTATTTATTTAAATTATACATGTTAATTTTTATATTAATCTAATACTTAAAACCCTTTGATTAAAAAGACTTCTTTTATTGACTTATATTTAACAATGTTAAATTTTTTGTAATTAATAAAGTAGTTAAGTTTATTAAAACAATATAAAAGTTAAAATGATCTGTATAAATAAAATTTTTATTTGATTGGTTGATTTTTAAAAATATTAATAAAAAAAGAGTTTTTAAATAGATATTCCAAAAAATGAAAGAAAGCCACATTCAATACACTTTACCCTTATAATATTGGCTTATAAAAAATCATATAAAAAATTATACATTAAAAATTGTCTTTTAATTATTTTCCATTTTATTTTATGTATTTAACAATCACGTATTGACACATAGCTTTATCAAATTTCATTTTTTCTCCTTAAATAAATATCAAAACGTATGATTTTCGTGTTAGAGATTGTCTCTTTGATGGAAGACGTACGATCCATTCCATAGTTCTCTTATAGGTAAGGTAAATTATAGTGGATTGTCCCTAGGCCCTGAAAGTAGGCATAATAAAGTCTGGAAAACCTCTTGATTATTGGAATTAGATCCCTAATGATTTTTATATTTTGTAATTTATGGAGAAAAATAAATAAATAACAAAGGAAATTTTATGCAGTCTAATAATTCCATAGCTGTCCTTTCTTACATAAAAATCATAGATGTTATTGATAGCTAAAAAAGTTCAACTTTATTTATGACAAATGCCTTTGGGCCATGAAACAACTACCTATAACACTTATATACTTAAAATGTGCCCAATGCAAATAAGTTAATTTAGTATTGAGTGCCTCCTGGTTGATCCAAAAAAAAAAAAAAAAAAGAAGTATTGAGAGCCTCCTATGCTAATAGATGTTATAAGGATGTTAATAGGCCAAAAGTGATGTTGCCCTATTTGAGCATTCAAAAGTTTTAAGTAACTGTCTTGCAACACCAAAAGTTAGGAGAGAACAAAGGATGACTCTATAATAATCCCCAACTCGTTATAACACCTATTATTGATAAATATCAACCACTAGGGGGATAATAATCATCCACCTGAATGGCTAAGATAGCACCTTTGAAGCAATGCCTAACTCCTCATGTCCAAGTCTGGATTTCTGCTTTCCTTTCTCACTTGCTCTCCTGCTCGAAGATGAAACCTTCTCTTTTCCAATCCTTTTCCATTTACCCCTATTCCCTTGTTAGAGCATTTAGGTTCCTTACTAGGCAAGTTGCAATCTACTATTAAATGGAACTTCAATTAATTGCATATCAAAGATTGATAAAAAAAATTGCATTACCATGGCTTAAACCATTTGTCTCTACACATTTAGGGTAGCTTCCTTAATAACATTTTGAACTGTAGTTTTTTCTTACTTATTAATTTGACACTACTCATATGATCCATTCCCACTTTGTAAGATCAGTTAAGAAAAATTGATTCAAATCAACATAAAACTCAAGAAAAAATCCTTGAGAAACATGTGAAAGATAAAGGAAATAACATAAATTGAGCTAGAGATGATGCTTAGATTTTTCTCATTGATTTTCCATTTGTTTTTCATCAATTTTTGGTATGCTTTTTATACAAAACACTACGAGCCGCATTACAATGTTCACCTACATTTAAATAATAATATAAACCCATAAAGTAAGGGCATGGTACCATATGCAATTAAAGCCAACCCATATTTTTAGGTGAACACTTAACATCCAAGATACATAAAGATTGCATTGGAAAATTAACAAAGAAACTTCTCAGTAGCTTAATTGAAACTGAACTAGACATGAACAGTGTACATAAACAGTAACTCCTTGAGAGGTTTCCTTGTTAACTCGAGTATAGACATTAGAGTTTCAAATCCAGATTTTGGCAAAGATTTAGTGAGATGATCAGTGGCTTGAACTTTAGAATCGTAGTGTAGAAGTTTTATTTCCTTCTCCTTAACATATTGCCTAATGACATGATATTTTACATGAATATGCTTTGTTCTTCCATGCTGTATTGGATTTTCAATAATTGTAGTGGTTGATTTGTTGTCAATCTGAATCACACATGGCTGAACTTGAGGTTGTCCCATGTCATTTAGTATTGTCCTCAATCATATAGCATGATTTGAGGCAACTCCAATAACAATATATTTTGCTTCTATTATAAATTGTGTTATAGGTTCTTGCTTAGATGAATTCCAACAAAACATCCTTGAACCAAATGAGGAAACATATCTTGTAGTGCTCTTTGAGTCATCAGGACACGTTACCCAGTCACTATCCACATACCATTACAAAGAACCATTACTTGTAGACTCATACAAAATTCCATAATCAACAATTCCATTTACATATCTCAAAATTCTTTTAGCAACACTAAAATGAGTTTGAGATGGTGAAATCATGGACCTTGATAGTAGACTGGTAGCAAACATAAGATCAGGACTTGTTGTTGTAAGATAAAGTAAACTCTCTACCAAACTTCTATAAATTGAAGCATTACACTTCAAGTTGTCATCATCCTTAGACAATTTTAGATTATTTGTAGAGGAGTAGCACTTGGCTTGCCTTTATCCATTCTAAACTTCCTGAGAATGTCCTTGGAATATCTCTCTTGTGAAACAAAGATTCTTTTACTGCATTGCATCACCTCCATTCCTAAGAAATATTTCATCTCTCCCAAATCTATCATTTCAAATTCATTCTACATAGAAGCCTTGAATTTTTGAAGGAGTTCAGTGTCCCTTCCAGTCACCAAAAGATCATCAACATAGAAAGAGACCAACAATTGAGAATTAAAATTTCCACCCTTAGCATAAAGAGTGACTTTAGTTTCACTTCTTTGAAATCCCTATTCTATCAAATAGGAATCAATCTTGCTATACCAAGCTCAAAGGGCTTGTTTTAAGCCATAAAGAGCTTTATGTAGCCTGTAAACATGATCTTTACAGCCTTAAACTAGAAAACCTTTCGGCTATTCGACATATAACTCCTTTTTCACAATTTCATTTAGAAAAGTAGATTTGACATTTGAATGATAAACCTTCCATTTCTTTCGAGCAGTTAAGGCCAATAGAAGCCTTATAGTATTATGTCTGGTTACTAGAGAAAATGTTTCTCCAAAATCAACTCCAAGTTGCTGTGCATACCTTTTTACCACAAGCCTAGCATTACATTTTTTTAAGGAACCATTAGCATTATACTTCGATGTGTACACCCACTGTGCACAATAAAAATTTTTTATTCAAAATTTATGTGCTAAATTACAAATTTGTTAAAAGTTTGTGGGTTACTATCTCCAAAACTTTAATCCTTTGATTCGTTTCTTTGAACAGAATATTTTAATCTTGACTTCTTGTAGGAAGGTCTTTATTGACTTATTCTTGAACAAGTAAAGTCTTCGATTTCTTCATTAGACAATATCAGGGCCCCTTTTAATAGGGAAACAAGTGATCAACGCTTTTTATATAGCGTGTTTCACTTGTTC